AGGAGTGGGGCAGAGTACAGAAAGGGAACTGTCTGCTCTAAGGGTCACGGCAAAATGCAACGGTACAGATTGCCGAAGGTATTTGGTTTGAGAAGTGTTCTGTTGGACTCACCTGATTAATTTCAAATTATATTTGAAACCCTTCGCTGTGGATTACTGACTGGTGGCGACTTTTGTGCTTTTCCCAGATGGACGAGAGAATTCGCAGCATGCTGAGCGAGCTGGCGCCGCTGGGAGCCACAGAGTTCTACATCGGGCTGAGCTCTGACGCTGCCGGAGCCTTCAGTTACGTAAACGGCACGGCGGCCGCGGCCGGCAGCGCCTACCTCAACTTCGCCACGGCCGCGGACGCCGCGCGGCCCAACTCGTGCGCCTTCTACTCGGGCCGGGCCTGGGCCTCTGGTGACTGCAGCGTGGCGCGTGACTTTGTTTGCCACATCCGTCGCGTGCGCCACAGCCTGCGGCAGGAGCCGCGGAGGCCGCGCTGCGGCGTCCGACACCCGCGCGGCGTGCTGGGCAAGAGCAGCGCCCGGTTCGCGCCGCCGCCGCTGCCGCTGCCGCAGATACCACCGCCGCCGGGGGGAGACGACCGGCGCGGAGCCGCGCAGTTCGGAGAGATTACCTGGCAGGTGCGTTCACCACGAGGGCCGCTAAGTCATTTCTAGCAATGTCGCAGGGCTCCTAAAACCAGGACGACAGCGAGTCACTGAACTGAAATGGTTTCTGAGCGAGAAATTCAGCCTTATTCCAAGGGCGCTGAATCGCTGACTCCAGTCTAGGGACAGTAAATGAACACCTTGCGCTTAGATGTTTCTAGTTAGAGCCTCTTTGTGTCTTCTCCCTCTTCTGTGCCTCAGTTAAGCTGATCGGGCCACTCCCTGACCTCAGCGCCCCCTGACCTCGGCGCCCCCTGACCTCGCCCTGCCTCAGAGCTTGGCTCTCCCTGACCTCGCCCCTTCCCCTCGCCAGGCGGCCATCTGGATCCGTTCCGGTGCCAGCGAACACGAGTTCGCCTGCAGTGGCGCCCTGGTGCACTCCAGCTGGGTGCTGACGGCAGCGCGCTGCGTGGCTGACACCGAGCCGGCGGACATCAAGGTGACGGTGGGAGACTGGAACCTGGACGAGACGCGCCCCGTCAGCCTGCCGCCCGTGGCGGTGGACGTGACGCGCATCCGTACCTCACCGGGTAAGTGACATGGAGGGAGGGGATTCCACCTCGTCAGGGCCGGAGAGCGGGCTGGCCACAGCTGGTGTTAATGAGCGCCGTTTGTGGCCCCGCGTTACTGTATTGATTAGTGCCGCTCCTTGCTGGCTATCTGCTGCGCCTTCTAGCTTTTGGCTTTTGGCGAATATGTTGAACGATGGTGGTCAACACCTTCGAAGTATGGTTTCTGGTTTTGCGATGTTGACATTTCGTTTTCTATACTGTTCACTCCACCTCTGGAGTGATACTCCTCCAGGTATGTTTCAGCTCCGCACTGACCATCACTATCCCTCCGTTCCAGGCCGGGTGTCTCACGGTCCGTTCGGCCCGGTGCTCGAGCCCGGCCGGCTGGCAATGCTGAGGATCACCCCAGAGCTGGACGGCGACGAATACCCGCACGTGGGACCCGTGTGTCTGCCCGATACCAGTCTGCTGCAGGACGTCCACCAGCTCAGGTAACTCGGCGATCAGCGCTTTTCCACAGTGTCTTGCTGCGTTCGTGCGGTGCTTTCAGCCGCAACTTTTGGTATTGTGATTCATGGGCACGCTGTGATCGATTAAGTCTGCTGCACGCCAAGGTGTCTAACTGACGAAACCTTGTGGGTTCAAGTCATCAGAAATAACCAGGTGCCCGCGGTATGGACTAAGGCATCTGTGGTAATGTATCTAGACTAATATATCGCTGGTTGTATGCGTTTTTGTTGTATGATGCTGGTATGAGTACCCTCATCTGACGCTGGTTTGTATCGTCGCTGCCGCTCCCGCCCTCAGGTGCGTGGTGACCGGCTGGCGGGGCGGACTGCAACCAACCCACCAACCGTGGAGGCAGCAGCCCAACCCCGACATGCGGGACATTCTCAGGAAGTTTGAGACTGGTGTGAGACACGATCCGGACTGCCAGGACCTGGCCCACCACCTGAAACATCTCAAACAGGTGAGCTTGATAAGAGAATTACCAAAATACCGGTTTTGTGGGGGTGGGGGATGGGGGGGGACTCTGCGGCTTACATGCTTAGCTTAGTGCTCGTGCTTCAGTGTATGGTGTAAAACACTTATGTTTTTAAGTACCCAAGATACGAGCACTGCCATACTGAAACTGACTTCAACCCATGTCTACCGTTCTCAGCGTCCGCCGCAGCCGCCGCCGTTCGCGCCGCCGTTCCCGGGGCCGTACCCCTGGCCGCCGCGCCCCGTGCCGTTCTCTGTCGAGGGCCGCGACGCACTGGAGCCGCGTGACGGCTTCTCCTTCCGACCGCCGCCGTTCTTCGGAGCGCCGCCGCCGCCGCTGCCGCCGCCAGCCGCCTCTGATCAGCCCGAACTGTTCATCTGCCCACGAGAGCCGCGCTGCATCGTGAGTAAAACTGAACGCTAACGTGTAATGTACTCGTATATCTGCAGCACATATGAACCACGTGCTATATATATATCGATAAATTTAGGATAGTTGTTTGACATTCGGTAAAACGTATCCTGATGAACATAGACATTAGCGTCAACACCGGATCCTGAAAAAGCACATAGTCTTAACGTTTACATTTGTACACGTACACTTAAGCCAAGTTATGTGACTTCAGTTCCGAGGATAGGTTTGCACGATTTAACTCTGCTCGATGTTCAACGCTATTTGAAATACATATGTCCCATTAGCCCCTCACCTCGAATTTCCTGAGCAGGACGACTCTACGATTAAAAATAAGCACGTTCAATATCGTGAGAACGGAATGTTGAAATATTACGTTCTCACTGTCACAATCAGCCTATCGGACATATTTCGGTCGGCGTATAGGTTTCAGTCGATAAGCGTCCTGACTTTGATACTCTGTTCGCAGCCGGACCAGGGAGCACTGCTGGCTTGTGCGCTGCCGCCTCCGCCTCCACCGCCGCCTCTGCACCGCCCGCCGGTGCCGAGACCGCCGCCCTTCTTCCGAAGCGCCCAGAACGAGACAGAAGACGACACCGCTACCGCAGAAACCACCACCGCCTCCGTCCCCACCGGACCGGTGGACGCCTATGAGCAGCTTTCCAAAGGCTTCCGGCCGCCCGTAGACAAGAAAACGGCTGCCAAACGCGCCAGGCGCAGCCTGGAGTCCGGTGGCGAGCCCTCTGCGCCCGTTGCTGCCGCCGCCGCCTCCGCAGAGGGGGCAGCGGGGTCCGCCCCCGCCCAGACACCCGTCGAGGGGCCGGGCGTCGGGCCCGCCCGGTCCGCTGCCCCGGAGGGCGACTTTGGTCGGACGGACGGCCGGGCTGCGTTCGTGCTCCCGCACAGTATCATCGGGGCGTTCCACTCGGCGCCTCCGCCGCTGGCCGGCGGGGGCCTGGGCGGCGGGCTGGGGCCGGATACTGAACCGGCCAGTGAGCCCGCCACCGCCGGTAGTCGACACTACGACGCCTATGTGCTGGTCGGAGTGGCGAGCTCGGCGACTGACGGCTGCGTCACTGGACGAATGGTGTTTGACGACATCATCCAGGAGTCTGAGTTTATCCAGCAGGTTGTGCATAGGGGTGGTTAGAGGGCGGGGTGGGGTTAGGACGCGGTGATGAGTCGTGTGACAAAATCATTGAAGGCTGGTTCCAGTAGCTTGGGCTTAATTGGCTGTAAATTGTATGCTAGAAACCTGTTACAGGGTGTTACGAGAACAATATATTTTTATATGGAGCCAAGATATGCATTTTTATCCAGATTAGCAAGCTTGATCTTCACACCATTGCAGCTTGAAAGGCGTAATTGCGTTGGAATCCGATACAGTTCCGGATTAGTGCGGTGGCGAAGGGCTGACACTAGCTGACTGGTTCTAACACAGTGGGCGGCAAACTGTTTACACCAACTCTGGGCAGTAGTCTGATTATCCGCCGTGGGTCATCTGAAATATGATCGGTTCTACCGCCTGCAGTGAGCCTGTTTATAATTTCCTCTTACTAACAGCGGATGTTTTTCCATCAGAATCCAATAATTGACCCGGTGATGGATATGTTTAGCATTTTGGTCCCCCACGGTATTTATATTCGGACGATCGACGTCCGTAAACATGGAGTCTGTGAAATCATCGTGGCCGGAATTTCATGAGGTGGTTCTGCACTGGGGGTAGCGGAGAAAACAAATGCCGTGCTTCAAGTGTTTCGCCGCATTGCGTTTCATATGCATATTGGAGTTCGGGTCAATAGTTTGACCTTCAGACTCGAAGTTTTATTCTGCTTAGGTCGGATACTGATGCCTTCGACCTAGGTTTTACTCAATGAAAACTATAGATAAGCGGTCTACACTTTGAACCACAGCCATTCGAGCAGGTTCGTTCATATGTACCGTGAGGTTCATGCGGCTTGGTCTTGCCCGAATTTGTAGGGGGGCAACAAGAAGTGCGGACTCTTCCCAGACATTGAATGCTTCCATAAGTGAGCAGCGCTTCCAAAAGTACACAGTAGCAAGGCAGTATATCACGGAAGTCGTTTTTGGGTAAAGCCAGGTGGACTGACATCTCGCTAAAAATTTTCGTTCCTCTATTTAGCGTTTTAGAGAAGCACGTCCGTAGTTAGCAAACCGAAAGTCGCGTCACTGAAGCATACGCCTGATCAGAAGCCGATTTGCTGGTCAAGTTTTTCCGTTTTGAGACGGCTGATTGCTCGTTACGTTTTGCCCGTTTTAGTCTAGCTTCCCGAGCCTCCCTGGACGTTTCAGTTTGTCCGTCCAGCCCCTTCGCTCTGAACAACAGTAGTATCGGATGAGCAATAATAACTGCGCAGTATTTTCACGTTCTTATTAATTCCAGAGTTGTTCTTTGCTCTGAGACAAACAGCTGAATCATGTCCTCACCTCGCTAGCCTTTATTACGCCACCTCACGGAACAAGCAATGAACACTGTCGATGAACACATCAGTTTCCAAAGCGGAATCACCAATCCGTCAGCGACAGCGGCCGTGAGGGCGCCGCCGGGCGCCGTCTCGGGCGCCGGCGGTGGACGGATGGGTCGGCCACGGGTGCGAGGGAGGAGGGTGTGGCGCCCGCCGCCGCCGACCGGCCGCCCTCCCACCCACCGTGACGCCCCCGCTCGGCCTCGGCACGCCGCCAGCAGAGCTTTCCGCGGCGTGCGTCATCATGGCGGCGGCATCACGGGGAGTCGGACAGCACCTGGGAAAATGTCGAGTACTATTCGGTGACAAATTTGGTAGAATTCGTTCATACTGGGTACAGCCCAGAGCCACGATCGGGAACGATGCAGGCACACATATGCTGCTGCGGTGTCCGCATTGCATTATTTATCGCGCCGGTCGGTTGTCACCACACACGAAAGTCGTATACAACAACCATGTTCGTCATTCCCATCATGTTCGTCGTTCGTCATTCGTCACATGTCTAGTAGGTACATAGCGGGCAGAGGGGGAGGGGGTACGATCACAGCTGACCGGGGCGGCAGCGGAGATGGGGGTCGGGGGGGGGGGGGGGCACGAGCCGTGCGGGGAGGAGGGGCGGGAGCCGACTCCTCTACCCGCTCGGCTACATGAGGCGCCCACTCGGCCTAATGAGGGGGATGTGGAGGGTGGAGCTGGGGAGGGGGGTACTCACCGGTTCAGCAGCAGAGAGGCGCTCACTGAGCGAGTGCAGCGCGCACTCCGTCTATGATGCGCTGCATCTTCTGGGGCGTGTCCACGTACCCATCACCGTTCTGAAATAGCACACCGCTGAGGTTTACCCCGGACGAGCTCGGATGACGGGCGGGGTGAAGTCATCGGGCAGTCAGAGACGCCACCGTAAACACAGGCCCGTCTAATGAGCAGCAATCGTGACAGGGGCTAAATGAAGGTTGGTGAACTGAAACTATACCGTAAAACGGCGAGCGACGATTGGGTGGATGATTTAGTATCCTGAAACTAATCGTTAATTAGTGTTTGGATCCCCCGCGGTATTTATATCCGGTATTTATATTTATTTATCGCGGTATTAATAGTCGTAGAAGTGCGATGGTAACATATCGTTTCAGACTGGATGCTTATGTATTAACGCTCTAACTTTCCACGGGGCAGAAAAATGTCCCGCCGCATTGATAGCCGTCATTATAAACGGTTCTTATTCAGAACAGCGTAGTTAGGGAAAAAAATTATCACACAGCTACGAGTATAATGACCGGACTTGCAGAAAGTCTGCACTCTGTAGATGAGAACCCACACCCACCTTCTTGGAGTGGAGCAGCTTTCCGCCGACAATTTGCACCTCGAGGTAGCCGGTCACACTGGGGGTGCCCTCTCCGGTCTGAAACGGACCGCGCCGGTCAGCACGAGACAATCGGAGCGAAATTACAATATCGCCAGCCAGTCAGGGTCACATTCCCACATAATGAGCTCGCCACGGGGACTGCCGTCGACGTGATGCGGCTGTCAGCCGGACGTGGATGGGTCCAAGGCCAAGGTCGGTCAGCAGTGGTCAGGTCCGGAGCTGAGGAGGCGGCGGCAGCCGGCCGGCCGCGAGTTCTATGCTTCTAACGCTAATGTGCCCATTCTCTATAGCCTGTCACTGTGCCTCATTCGGACGAAAGTCAAGCTGCACTCTCTCCTATCATCGTTTAAAATGCTGCAAACTGAATAGGTAATGTGAATATTGAAACAGTGACCCTACCTTACACCACAGACACAGAGGTCAATGCAGGTCATGAACGGTCACCAGCATTTTTGTAAAATAATTCGATAACGACACCATAGAGCGATGAAAACACCTCGAATTTATTCAGCTTAGCAATAAAGATAGATCATCGATACGCAAGATGACCTTTCGGGGTCAGGTCATAGCTTTTTGACCCAATGATGAAGGAAAGATTTTAAAGTTGACTTTTCCGGTTCATATTATAATAAATTCGACGCATCTCAACAAGAGAAATACAACGCTGTACGTACAACGCTGGGGAAACCGGCGTTTGAAATCCTTGTGTCAAAAGTAATTGCGGAAAACGTTTTCTTTGAAACGTCTATTTTACGTCTGGTCTCTGAAGGCCAAACCGTTGACCTTAGGTCAAATCTGAGGACATAACCTATAGCGAAAGAGTTTTTAACAGCTCATATGTCTTCCACGACTTTGTAGATCAGTTCGTCTATGAACTTAGATATTTTCTCCAAAAACGTTAAAGGGACCCTCCCACCTTCAAAAAAGTTAATGAATTGGCACGAAAGTGATGTCCCTTGGTTCAGAAAGAGCGAAAACGAATATCTACCAAATTTCATCGAAAAATATTCACTGGTTTTCAAGATATTAGGCTTTTACTTTTGTTTACTTTTTGGGATCTCCGCTGTTCCTAGCGACTTTATTTGAAAGTGCGGCATTTGTTGCGCGCAAAGCAGTATATACCACCGCGTGCTACCAAACGTTTTAGTAAAAGATTTAAAAATCGTTAGATCTCCGCTGACGTCACAAATTCTAAGGGGGCATACCAATGCATTAGCCCCTTAGAATCCGAAAACTGCAAGTTTGAAATTCCATATCTCCGAATTAAAGCATTTGTCGATGTTGTGAGTGCCCAAACCGGTATTTGCAGGCCATGGCCACCAATTTGGCTATCTCAACTCAAAACTAATGTTAAGGTGGGAGTGTCCCTTTAAGAGCTGAAAAGTTGATTTTTTATTACCTCTGCTAACCCGACCTAATGGAAGATTTAGCGCCTATAAAATTATCTAATTTATGCTCATGGTTTTCACTATTTCATATAATGCAGGTTATGAGTTGTCACTACCTGACAGAGGATCCCGGCATAAGGAGGCGGGCCCTTTTACGCTTTCTGCCTCGATTAGTTATTTTATTTATTTTTGTGACGACCGGACCATCACTCAAACACGGCAATAGACCCGAATATATACCTTCAGTTGAATCGGCTGAATCAAGGACCAGACGTAATAAATTATCAGCATGCTCACTGCCCGCGATATTACGTAGCATCGGGAGACATCAGTAGGCGGAACTATGGTCATGAGTACCCAAATATAGGAACGTTCCCATTTTTGGGAACGGAGTTCCCAAATATGGGAACGAGCGTTCCCATTTATGACTACGGAAGGCAATTTTTCGGCCGTTCGCGCACTAAAACTCATTAGTGCATCACGTCTCGAAAAAGTGCATGCTAATTAACGTCTCTACTAAATCTCCATAAAGTTATCTTTAATCTGACCGTGGAACAAGGAAATTGACCGTGGAATGATATTTTTAATGATTTTTTAAAAATGACAGAATGGTGGAAATATGGGTTATACGACATTTAGCATGCAATTTTAAGGAAAATGAAGCATTTTTTAGTTTGAGGTCAACTATAATAATTTTCGCCTGGTTATGAACTTTCATACTATCGACACCAGATCCTGACAAATGCAAGCGAAGACGCGTACGGTCCCGAGGTAATATTGTTGACTTTTGGTGTCGGGGCGGACGACCGCGTGGAACGCGAGTGAATTTACCGAACTACTGTTATAAACTCAGTTTAAGTGGTTTAAAATTATTCAGCTGTATTTTATCAACCCTGAAAGACATATTTTATTTGGATGCTAGCTGTTTAGCGTTGCTTTTAAAGGAAACAGTTCACTTTCCTGAAATCAGTATTTTGCTATTGATTGATGATTTTTTATGCCCAAAATAATCATGAAATAAAATAAAACCTTTTTGTAAAAACAATTATTTTCTATATTTCAATATAGGACGAACTATATTCTATGTAAAATAATGTTTGACGCGGAAGCTTATTACGCATTGACCAATCATATTGCGTAGCTCAAACCTACGCATACTGCATTGGCTGTAAGCCGCACGCTGATTGGCTGACGATGACGTGGCTGCATTCCTGTGCAAGGCACGCATTCCTCTACAAGGCACTCTTTTCGGAACGAGAAATGGAATATCTTCGTCTAGGGTGATCGTTGAGCCGTAAAAGCTCCTGATTTGTGCTAGTCTCAGCTCAAGCTACAAAACTGCTATTCCAGCTCAAAACCCCATGTTAAAAGTGAACTATTTCCTCATGAGCGTGGTTTTGATGACAAATGCAAGCGAAGAGCGTCATGAGCGTGGTTTTTGCCTTCGGTATTTTGGGGGTACGATCGTTTTGGGGGAATTTCTTTTATGCAGGTCGCCCTATGTGCCTTATTTATAATTTTCATGCTAATTTTGATCATTTCTCGTGCCCATCCTACCAGGCCTTTTGCCACTTACACTCATTAAGAAAGGAAAAAAGTAGATTTATATTGGGACTAGGTGTTTTGAGAGTGAAACATTTCAGCGTTCCCATTTTTGGATACTTACTTGTGCTCGTCAACTATCGGTGATAAACAGACAGGTGCTTGACATGTCTCCACCCTCGGCGCGGACGTTGGATATAGGCATGGAAGACCTTGTTGAACATCGCTGAGCGTTGTGAATTACGTAATCCTGCAGAGGGGGGCGTGCCCGCTGCGAGATCGACGGGAATAAAAGCGCAGAAGACCGGGCGAAACATGCGACGGTCTTGCCGGAAAGGTCATCTGATGATTGTTGCGTTAACAATAATTTGCGGCGTTGGACGTGATGCTTGTTAATGAAAAGAGCCCCTGAAAGGCGTCGGTGAAATCGTTCCCAATTTTGGGTACGCCGTTCCCATAATAAGGAACGCTTGCAGCGCCAGTGTACGAGAGCGTTCCCAAATTTGGGCTCGCGGCCCGGATGATGGACTGCTTTAGAAATAGGCGAACGATTTGAAACTACGATGGGCCTTACAATATCAAACTCTTTCCCAACAATATTGAGACAAATATCAGGCGGTTCACGATCGTTTTATATTTTTTGGACGTCATTTAACGGTTCTTTTTCTTGTTTTAAATAATGCCTACATGGCGTTCCCATATTTGGGTTTATCGTTCCCAAATATGGGAACGAAAATGCGTTCCCGAAAATGGGTACGCTTGACCATAGTTCCGCCTACTGACATGACGGCTCAGTGGAGCAGCTATCTGACCCACAATCGGCAGTCAGATGATACTTACGATCTCCAGATCACCGGGAAAGGCCTGCTCCAGTTCCGCTTTGATCTTGCGGAACTTTGGAGCGTACCCTCATGCCCCGCTGAAAGACACCAAAACCGCAGTCAAATGGCTGATCTGTGCCGACAGGCTGCTGCTGGGGAGACGCGGGCACCCGTCCCATTTCGAAGCAGCGATCAGTGCGGCGATAAAGCGATCGTCAGGGTCGTCATCGTCGGGAGGGAAGCCAGATCGTCAGGGCTGGAGATCGCTCCATCGAATAATATCCATCGGAGTTCGTTGACGATATTTTCGCGATTTGGCATAGTTATCGGGAAGCGTTCGAGAATGAGAGCCGATATCTGGCAAACCTGACCTTTGCTGCAAGCCAGACCTTTTGACTTAGACCACATTTTCAGGTCCGGTCCGGTCCGGTCCGGTCCGGTCCGGTCCGGTCCGGTCAGGCCAGGCCAGGCCAGGTCAGGTAAGGTCAGGTCAGGTCAGGTACGGTCCAAGTCTCAAACGTAGGTATGAATCGTAATACCATCCCCTTTATGCGAGACCAGTGTTTTTTTTCATTTTCGACCTTACGTAACGTCATGTGTCGCTATTGCTAATGGTCAATCGAGGTCATCAGAGTTAAATCAATAACTCTCGCCCCAATTGAGCTAGCGAGTCGAGAAAGGCACCAGTGAACTTGAATGAGCAGCCTAATCGTATGCTATCAAACATGACCTCCCTCGATCAGCTTTCTGACCTGACTGGTTTTGACCTGCCCTTGACATACCTGACATTTGACCTGACCTTGGGTCAACACCCCAGCAGACCTTGAGCAGTTCGGCTTTCGCTTTCCTACCTAGCGCAGGGGCAAACATCTAAGCCGGCTGGCGGCTGCATTACTTCTTTCAAAATAGTACGGGAGTCAGCATTGTGAAAACAGAAACATAATAACGAAGGGTTATGTTCCCCGTTCGACTCTTTATGCACAAGGTCAAGGTCACATGTACCTACTCAATTGGCGGCTAAGGCCACTTAGGCGCTCTACTCCCCCTTCACCGTCTAAAAATCAAAATATAACTCACCAGTAAACGATGTGGATCTTCAGCTTTCCTCCCATATCTGGTTGAGCGCGGTTGAACGTAACCTTCGCCGCCCACGACACCAACGAGCACTGACTCGCCGACCGCGACTCCACGCCGACTATCGACTCTCGGGCGCCCTCCGTTAGCCAGGGGCGATGCCAGCGGTGAGCCACTCCCCATCCGCGGCCCACGGTCACCGTCGGCCGCCCCTCCCGCATCGCAGGTCCGCCGACCGAGGACAGCGGCGCAGTGGCGTACCCAGGGGGCGACCGGATCACCCTGCCAACTGCCAACGAGTGTTAACGTTCTGTCAGCCTCGCAAAACCGACACATTTGGATTGAAGTACTAAATTACATACAATGTACATGTACCTTTTCAAATGGGATAGATACTTACATTTCCTGGCTGCGGCCAGTGGCCCAGAAAATGCACCGCTTCTTACGTCCCTGCCAGAGGCCAGTGATGGCCAAGTCAATCCTTTCGTCCAATGAAGGGATCCCTTCATGGAAAAATCGAGTGCCAAATAGATGGCAGCAATAGCATGTGTGGTTTGTGGTGCGGCTTTGACGAAATTAGCGCAGGCGGCCGGACGTGCCTAATCACAAAAGGACGCGTGTATATCACACCACGGTGAGATTTACATAATGCATCGCACTGTAGTGTAAACCTCACCCGGGTGTGATTTACACAATACACTACTCCTGTGTATATCACACCACGCGGAGTGTGATTTACACAGTGGGCCGGCAATGCGTAAATCACACCGGGGTGTGATATACACAATGTGCTCCTAGTGTGTAAATCACACCCGGGTGTCAGACCACGCAGCACCTGGGTGTGATTTACACAGTAGGCCCGGCAAATGCGTAAATCACACCGTGGTGTGATATACACAATGTGCTCCTAGTGTGTAAATCACACCTGGGTGTCAAACCACGCAGCACCTGGGTGTGATTTACACAGTAGGCCTAGCCAATGTGTAAATCTCACCAGGGTGTGATATACACTGTGTGCTCGGTAGTGGGTAAATCACACCTGGGTGTCAAACCACGCAGCACCTGGGTGAGATTTACACAGTAGGCACGGTAACAAGACACTTAACCAAACCTTAGACCTGACCTGACCTAACCTAACCTAACCTAACCTAACCTGACCTACTGATTTTTGCCTACCCGTGGATGAGGAAGAAGGTACTCGCATGAAGAGATTGCAAGCAATGGTAAGTCAAATATTTTTAGGTTAAGTGGTTGTGCATCAGGCTTCAGGCCTTCGGCCTGAAGCCAGATACACAACCACTTAACCTAAAAATATTTGACTTACCATTGCCTGTAATCTCTCCTAAGGCATTGCCTTCGGCACTGCACCGCTTCGCCACGAGCATTCAGACGTCGCTTTCCATATTGTATTGGTGCTTTTAAACTTGTCGGTCGGCAGCGAACCCACCGCTACCAAGGAAAAGCGAAAATGCGGGAAAAAGCGCCCGCACCGACGGGACTCGAACCCGCAACATTCGTAACATGGTGCAAGCACCTTCACCACTAGGCCAGGCGGTCAGCTGATTCCGAGAGAGAGGACGCCCGGAATCCCGCCGGAATATTCGTAGTGCTTAGTCTGATCTGACCAATGGGCGAGCAGAGTCACTGCTCTGACCAATGGACGTTCAGCGTTGCTATGACGTCACATCGTGGTGAGATATACACACAGCTGCCCTCTCTGTGTATTCCTCACCCGGGTGTGATTTACACTACGTAGTAGATTTTGTGTATATCACACCGGGGTGGGTGTGATTTACACAAATGGCCGGTATTGTGTAAATCTCACCGTGGTGTGATATACACGGTCCCATCACAAAAATCAACACAGCAGGCCGGTGCTAGCAGACGCCGGACGTGAGATTGCGGCCGACTGATTCAGACACCGGCAAATAACCGACTCGAGAGAGTGTCGGCTGAAACGGCTCCAATGGAATAATTGTGGGTCTACTGCAGAGGAAGGTGGCCAGTTTCGTCAACATCTCCATCAAGCAAGGTGGGTTGGTACTGGGTTGGTACAGGATCAAAATCACAGCCTAAAATCGCTACGATTCAATAATCAAAGAGGGTTCCCATTGTGCCAATATTTGTTATATTATATTTATTTAATCTGGATGTTTCATATTTTTCCCTTTTTGATTATCGGTACACAAACACCATGACCACAACCCAAACCAGTCACCATAACACCATTCATGCATCAGTATCAGTATGGAACCACAGGGCGCAGGAACGGGTGATTTTTTGTAACTCTAACATTAATGCTGTAGACTTGGTAAGTGCAGTCAATCAGGACTCGTGTCCACATAAATGTTTGATGAAGACTTGACAAGTCTTAGCCTACTGTATTTTTCATGAACAGTGGTCGCTGGTCAGCGTGACTCTTCCTTCTTGTTTAGTCCTACCTAACGTTATTTTATTCTACAAAATGCTTGCAATTTCAACCTCATTTGACCTGAAAACTGAAAATGCTAGAATGTTCTTTCCATGATAGATGATATACTGCTCTTTTCATGATAGAATGCTCTCTCAATTCAGGCCATCCAGGGATACTCTTTAAATACTCTTTAAAATACTCTTATATTAAAGTTGATACTCTTTCTTTTGAGGAGTATCAACTTTAAAGCCACTATTTACTACTTCATAGCCAGGAATGGTGGACAAAGCATGGTTTGATGTAGGTAGCCCTGTTGCTCTCCAACCTTTCAATTTCAATATTCATTTGGCATAGTGTCCTTATTACTTATTAGCTCCTGTTCCACAGTATATATTGCATACAGATAAATATGACCTATTTACATGTGTACCTGCATGTAAAAATGTGATGCTGCATTGATAATCTTCCTGATCTCTTTTGTGACCTATTGAAAAGTGGCATATTTTTCCATTCAGGAGGTATGCTTGTCACTAAGTTTACATCTTATGGAGATTTTAGGATGTGCCAACTGTCATGTGGTACATTAGTGTACGGCTACCGCCTTGCCGGCTACCGCCACGGGCACGGACCCGGCGCCGGCGAGTGCCGCCGCGGTCGGCGACGCCTGACGGTGGCGTGATGTGACGTCACAGCCGCCAGCGGCGCGGCGGTGGGGTCGGCCGGCCCGCATCGTGGCCTTGGTCGTGTCGCATCAGTATGGGAAGGGGTGGCCAGGGGCGCCGTGGGGGAACGCGACCCTCTTCCACCGGACAGCTCATGGCCAGAATAAAAACGTGACAAAAAGGCTCCAGTGATGACTGACGAGTGACCTCTCTGGACTTTTCATGAGTTTTCTTGTTTACCGGCTTTTGGAAACTTCTTGGTTGTGATAAATAGTTGTGATTTTAAATGTTGTAGCGTGCCATCATCATGAGTAGGTAACGAATAAAACCAGGTAGGGGAAGGTTAGGTCGGTTAGGTCCCCAGTTCCCGCACCTTCCGAAACCCTCCCTCTTCCTGCATGACTTGCCCGTTAGTGTTCCCTGCACGACGCACCGGTGTTACATACCGCTCGGATTCGAGCGGGCCGCTGCTCGATGTATACATGATACAGGTTGCGGCTCGTTTTCGGTGAGAACTTTGGAAATTGGTGAATCTGTCCAGTGGCCCAGCTTACATGTTATTGGTGCTGCTGTGGTGGATATTTTATGCGTGTCTCCGGACTGCCAATTCCCATTCATAATGTTCCAATCACATTGTTTACGATCGAGTCTGGAATGCAGTGCGTAGGTAGATGCATTTGACCGGATGGGTAGGTCAAATTATGTAGCGGAAACGGTGCGAACACCGGGCAACTGAAGGAGAAAGGCCGCCCAGACCCCGGCGCTGTTCGGTGTCGTTTTTTTATGTCAGTAATGCTGCCGACTTTTCCATATATGGACCCCTCCGGGCATGTTTTGACCTGTCATTGCTGAACCGCACAGACCACGTATATTCGACCCGAGCTGAGAAGCGCCAGAAAGCTGGCACCCTGGTGGTGAAAACAACGACCGCACGGCGCCCCGGTTGGGCTGTCGCCGGACGTTGTTTATTGCTGTCAGGGCCGAGTGGCGAGCGCCCGAGATATAGTTGCGGTTATGAAACTACATAATCGCATCTGAATTACCGATCAGTAGCCTTCTTTTCTATTCTAATGGGCTGTTCAATCACACGAAATTGTGTCATGACCAAATATGAGGATGAGCGTGGATCCGAGTGATAATTGAGATCTCGGTGGATCTTGAAGCAAACTGCGTGATAGGAACGATCCCATTGGATCTCACGTAGAAACCATAGGTATCCCGGATATGATCACATTGGATTTGACGATAAACCACTGGCAGGGGCCTATGACACGATCGTGATTTTGATGTGATCGACAAGGATACGAAATTTGGACTGCAGGCCTCTAGAGTCGAGATAAGTCCCTATGAATACACGTTGCATGGCTTTCCATGTGTCAGGGTCCTCCGAGGTCATCCAAGGTCACCTGGGGTCAACTCTGATCTTACCCTTTTCAATAAAACATTGCCTTCATGATGTGAAGCGTCAAGCGGCCGTACCGTACAAGTGTGTTATTTTTGTATCACTTTTTAGTTTTTAATATTTTTTGCGTCCATTTTTTTCTGAGCTGCGTGGTTGTTAGCTGAAACAAACTGTTTGCCGATTACTGTAATTGAATTACAGCTGAAACCTGTAACGAGCCGTGTCATTTTTCGTTTACAGATGACGGAGGACATTCTGGCCAGCCGCCGGTCAAAAGGCGACCTCTGCTGGGTCCTCAAGTCCTGGAACCAGGACGCCGGAGATTTCTCTCCAAAACTACTGCCAATGTCGCTCTTAGACTGCGTCAAAAGTGATGCCGGAGTCGTGACAGCACTCGCTCAGGTATGGTTTTCCATATTATGGACTATGGATACTATGTCTTGCCCACTCATTTCCTGTTTTTCATCCCTCAGTTTCCGCTTTACTGCTTGTTTACAGTTACCTATTCCGCCTTTCGACATCGGGCTGTTCCGACTGGAGCACCTCATGATCGAGTTGGGACTTGGGAGCACAAACCATTTTAGGCATGACTTCGATCCCCAGATCTCCAACACCCATGGCTCATAATGACCTCATGATTCATTGACCATATGAACCCTTGAATTGTCTTACCCTGACAACTCGGTCGTAGAGGTGGATCTGAATAAGTCGCATGTCAGGGTGGCTCATTTCCTGTTTCCGGTGTTAAGAACGAATAACTCGGAACATAACTCCCACCCTTAGTGATCCGCCGGGTCCATTCACTGAAACAATGTTGGATTGCTGGTGTAGCGGAAGCCGGAAACGCCCGCCGAGTGATTGTGATTCCTTGTGACTGACGTGTACCAGGTCCAGGTGCGGTGTGTTTACTATCACCGGTCTGACGTTTAACGAGGAGCCGATTGTAGTCACAGTATATCACGCATCGTTCAAAGTGAGAACGAGTTGATAGGCCGAATAGGTTTTACGATACCGCTGCTGACGAAGATATATAAATACATACGTATCGAAAGCTCCATTGAACTAACGAACTCTGTCGGGAAAATTTTCTTTATTTCGAACTCCACAATATAATATGTCTTTACTTTGAGCTTAGTCTGACCAGCTGACCCGTTCTGACCGCCGACCCCCACCCCCGTCAGCTGCCGGCGGCCGAGCAGTGCCAAGCGCGGGACCAGATCGACGCCATATTCACCGAGATGCACCACAACTTCAGCGTCGGGTCGGTGCGCCGAGTCGGCTACTCGCTGGCCAAGATATTCAAACAGCTCTACGACAGAATTTGTGTGGAGCGGGCTGGCATCGAACAGGTAGGCGAGCGTGTATTCGCACCGGTTGAGAGCGGGGGCCGGTGTTAATCGTTAGCTTCTCCCGTATTGTTTTACGTCTTCCTCCCCTGCTCGATCTATCATTACCCCCTCTCCGGCTTGTGTCTTTTAGTGTCTTTTAGTATTTCTAGTGTGCTCGCTCATATGCTTTGGCACAGATCATCAACGTATTTTCTGCACCCTAAAACATTTTTTCATGACCAGCCGCCGAAGCTACGTCCCAAGTAACCGCAACTGGCTTCGAGCTCTGCCGCTGAGCCACAGACGCCGTGTCCAAACTGGTGTATGTGTGCTGTTTCCCAACTAAATATGTAGTGTCGTTCAGCTACAGGCGCCATGTCCCGACTGCATGTCTAATTACTCTGCATCCCTTTCTGTCAAGGTTCGCGCCCTGCCGGCCGGCATTCCCACTCTCTACCTGCCCACCCACCGGAGTTACGTGGACTTTCTGCTGGTCTCCTACATCTGCTTCCACTACGGGCTCCCGCTGCCCGTCATAGCCGCCGGAATGGGTGAGTGTCCGTAATACTCTTTGGAATGGGTGAGTGTTAGGTATAGCGGCCGAAATGAGTGTGTGCTGGTAATATCCGATGGAGTGAGTCATAGCCGTCAGTCATAGCCACGTCACCTTGTAGCCTCCAGAATTGGCGAGTGCTCCTCTCCAGTCTCAAACTCGCTGCCACCAAATTTATAAACGGAAACCTTACCTACTCGGCCACACGGACTCAGCTTTATTATAGGCATGAAACAGCTGGCAAATGCAGCATAAATCAAGATAACCATTTCATTGAACAAGCACCATAAACACGCACAAGTTCGGTGATACCACATCGGCGCCGATGTACCGACTCGGTCTGTCTGCCGGCTGCGGCAGGCGTGCTGTACTGGGTCAGTCCTCAGCCAGGTCTAGGTAGTTTCTGAGTGGCTGGGGCAGCGGCAGGTGGCGCAGACCGCCTGGCAGCCGTCCCAGCTCCGCCAGCCGGCGACGAAGCACACAGCGCGTCATATGACGCAGCGGCGGCACGCCAGCGTACTGCGCCAGCCCGCCCTCCTGCGCCACGACTGTGTAGTGCAGCGCAGCGCCGCGCCACTCGGTGCCCTCCTCTCCGAGTCCGCTGATCAGCCGGAGCGCGGTGGGTGGCGCGGCGCGCAGTAGGAGGCGCAGACACAGCACCACCTCAGAGCTGTACGGCCGACCGGTGAGCACGTGCGACTCTACCTCTGAGTTCAATCGGTGACAGAGGTGCTCCATCGGCGAGTGGCGCGAGTCGCTCCACAGCGGGGCGCCGAGCGGCAGGAAGGAGAGCCGGGCGCCGAGCCGCAGCAGCGCCAGCACGGCGTCCGGCCGACACTGCGCCACGGCCGCGTGCAGCGGCGGCAGCGACTCGTACGAGAGCAGCGGCAGGTCGATGGCGCGGTAGGAGCGGTCCCAGCCGCGCCGGCCGCACGGCAGCGTGTTGACGGTGATACGGAGGTCGGCGGCGACCGCGTGCCTCAGCAGGTACTCGGCGAACCTCAGACACTCGGCGCGGTCACTGAGATCAGCCTTAGAGCCGCTCACCAGGTAGGTGACGCAGGGACCGAATATGGCGCCGGCCAGCAGCCGCTCCAGAGTGCTCTCACAGCCGGCCACAGCGGTCAGCAGTCGGCAGACCAGCGGCGTGTCGTCCAGCCGCCAGCGGAACGCCACCAGCGCGGCCACGGCCAGCAGCTGATGGAAACCGCCCAGCCGACACACGCCGCCGTTGGCGCAGCGCGCCTGCTCGTGCCGCTCCAGCAGGGCGGCGGTGACGTCGGCGGCCGCCCGCTGCCGGTCGCCGCTGAGCTCGATGATGCGGTCGGCGGCGGCGGCCGCGCGGCGCCGCTCGGCGCGGTCCTGCAGTTTGGCCGTGCCGATCAGACGCAGCAGAGCCTGGCCGGGCAACAGCTGCTCGGTAGGCGAGGCCATGTCGCTGCCGGTGGTGTTGTCAGTCACAGCACTCCAGCTGGTGTCCACAGAGTGTCTCCAGAAACCCGCCGATCACAGCACTCGTGGCACTCAAATAATTGTCACGAGAAGCCCATCGATTGTAACACTCCACCTTTCATGAGGGCTGTCAGGAACTGCCGATCACAGCGCTCCCGACACTCACGAGGCCTGTCGGTATCCCTCCAGTTTATGCACTCCTGACACTCGATGATGCCTTCAGAAACTGATAGCTTGCAAACCTAGCTGGAAACCAAGAGATGCTCGTCCAGCTCGACTCGTGAGAATAGTTCGACTGCAGAAAATCAGCTGACCACGAGCTGTATCGGTCAGTTCTTCGTAGGGGTTTCCTAATCCGGAAACCTTACCGTTCTGAGCTGGGTCGCTCATCGATTGCACGTATACAACTTCACCAGGAGCCAATGGGGAGCGCATCCTATCACCCAGCCTGCCCTTCTCTTGCTCTCCCCTCTCGCTTTTTCACTCTCCATTTTTCTTTCACTCTTTTTTTTTATCCATGTCCTATAATTTTCTTTGCATTTCCTTTCTTCTTCTTTTTCTCACACTCTGCTCCTCTCCCCAAGAATCATCCATTCATGCTGCTTTTCTCTTTGCTATGTTTACTAACAGACACGTTTGTTACCGATGCTTATATTGCAGCCTGTTTATTTGCAATGGTTCAGTGCCCTGTCAATCCGACTGTTCGAATAGTTATTTGACAGAACCGTTTTGTCATATTTCCGCGCTACGTTGAGCTCTCAGTCCAAAATCTTATCGTTGAACAGGACTGGCAAGTGGCTGCGCAACAAGCTCTTTTTGTGCTTTACTCCCCGGAAACTTCCCATTCAACCGTTTGTATCAAATTTCTGAAGGGCTGTTTTTTCAATAATTATTCTCTATTGCATTTTATGCGTTGTTTGCGATATTGGATCATCCACCAGCATTTCGCCCACACACTGACCCCACGAGCGGCTGTTTCCGTTGACCGTTTCTCCTTGTTGGCCCTCCCTGACTCCCTGATCACTAACTGTCCCGCAGACTTCAAGTCGATGCTGTGCGTGGGCGACATCCTGCGCAGCTGCGGCGCCTTCTTCATCCGCCGCCGGCTGAACGGAGACCGTCTGTACGCGGCCGTGCTGCGTGCCTACGTCCAGGCACTGGCACTCAACAGCCCGCAGCCCTCAGAGTTCTTCATCGAGGGCACACGCAGCCGCAGCGGCAAACCGCTGCCGCCGCGCACAGGTCAGTCGTAACTCGTAAGCTAACTTTAAAACCCAGCTGCAAACCCTGCCGCTGCACGTAGGTAAGTCGTACCTCGTAATGTAAATTAAAACATCACAGAGGTCAGTGATTACGTATGTCACAGCCGCAGTGACAAAACCCCTGCCACCGCGCACAGGTCTGTCGTGCCCCCCCCCCCCCCCTCTCCTCAACGTCTGGTCAGCTGCACACAAGTCAATCGTATCTCTTTCTACGCTGATTCCATCCTCAATGGACAGCTGCGCTTGCGCCAGAGAACGCAGGTCAATCACACTACGAGAAACAAAATAAACCATTGTTTTCGATAATCAAACTTAAACCGACAGGGAGCAATGCTAGCCTCGATCATCGTGGAAAGCTGTATAGGAATGTTTATGTTATAAGAATGTTTACTACCAGTAAAACGCCTTTTGGGCGACCAACGGAGCGAGCGAGAGGATGGGCCTTGCACGTGCGAAATTGCGAGGGGGTACCTCCAACTAACTTGTGCACTGCACCCTACTAACCGGTCTTAAGCGATGTGCCAAATTTCAGCGCAATCGGCCTAGCCGTTCTCGAGATCTGGAAGCGGCACACTGCACGTGCGCACGTGCAAGCGGGGTCCAAACTGACATTTGCACGGCACCCTACTAACTGGTCCCCAACCGTGTACCAAATTTGAGCGCAATCGGCCCAACCGTTCTCGAGATCTGGGAGCGCCCCCTGCACGTGCGCACGTGCTGTAGCACCCCAACCTTAACACATGCAGATGAATTATCTGATGGAGACCTAACTGTGTACCGAGTTTCAATTCAATCGGCCCAACCGTTGTGCCGTTATTGAGGTTGCAATTTTGGGGGTTCTTAAAAAATGTCCAACTTTACCACGCGCCACGTGCGGTGGTTGGCAAGAACGCATGGTGGCCATCACACCACAGAACTTTTACGTCCAAGTGACATTCAGTAAAGAAGACCGCTTGTCAATCGGATGTCCCGGTCCTAAGATATTAGCTTTTGAAGAGCGTCCCCACGGCCGGCCGGCCGGCCGGCCGCTCATACTCAGGATTTTCCCTTAATTCAGTATGAGACTCCGCTCGCTTCGCTCGCTCCGTAACAACACAACAGTGCCTACATTCTGCACAAGTGAGACCCTGATCAGACGTATCAATTCAGTGATGCTGCAACTTTGTCATGGGCTCTCATCCAAACACATTCTTGAGGTTTTAGACTTTATTTGATAAGATACCCCTAGAAATGGAAGACTGGTGGTTTGATCATAGTCTTTTCGCTCATCAAATTGAATATCAATGGTCACGCATTTTGTCGGAGAGTATTAAATAACACTGGATTCCACATTGCTGGCTAACAAATGGTGCTATCTTTCCGGTTACATGCACCGTTTCCGAACTGTCGACATGTCAGAAGCTCAACAGGAACTCTTTTGTGAGGTGCGCGGTGTCCCTGTTAGACGAACACATCTGAAGATCATTATATCAGTACTCAGTAGTAGCTCAGCTGCAGATACCCCTGTCCGAGCCGGGCGTTCTACCGGCTGGAGAGACAGGTCAGTATATCAGTAGTAGCTCAGCTGCAGATACCCCTGTCCGGGTCGGGCGTTCTCCCGGCTAGAGAGACAGGTCAGTTTATCAGTAGTAGCTGAGCTGCAGATACCCCTGTCCGGGCCGGGCGTTCTCCCGGCTGGAGAGACAGGTCAGTATATCAGTAGTAGCTCAGCAGATACCCCTGTCCGGGCCGGGCGTTCTCCCGGCTGGAGAGACGGGTCAGTTTATCAGTAGTAGCTCAGCAGGTACCCCTGCTCGGGCCTGGCGTTCTCGCTGGTGGTCGGACAGGTGACGTTGAAGCAGCCCAGCTGACTGATGCTGTTCTGGGTGACGGCGCCCGCCGGATCGTCCGTCTGCTGACCGTGCTCATCCACACAGTAGCAGTAGAGGCCGCGGCACTGGTAGGCCCGGAACGCGCCGTTCTCACAGCACTGCGGCAGGTCGGTGCGCTGGCCGGCCATCTGCATGTGGTACGAGGAGCGCGCGCAGTTGCACGTGGTGTCGGCGGCGTCACTGCGCCGCGGTACCCGGTACCCCAGGTCGGTACCGTCCGGCGCCACGCAGTACCGCTCCGTACGCGTTTCCTGGGGAATGGGAGACGGCGTTAGCCCCGATGCCTCAGGGGAAGGTGCATCGTACCGCAGGCTTCTCTATGGGAGGTATAGTGGATTTTGAACTTAATGACGTCTTTTCACTCAATAAAATCCCGTTGCACTTGCAACTCAACAAACTCTACTCAACAGACATTTCCAGTTGCATGGATATGGGTTTTGGCTTCGTGATTCCACGTGGGATCTATTATTTTACATAATCCGACTGGAAACCAAAGATGATGATTGAGAATATACGATCTCCTTGGATCTCACAGCATACAATCAATTTCACTGCCATGCTGTCGTCTCCAATTGACATCTGCCGTCTCTACTAACCTGGACCTTGTCGAAGTACCCTCCGATGTCACAGTGCGGCGGGTCCAGGCCCAGCGGTGTGAACCCCTGCGCGGCCCACTCGGCCGTCTCGTTGGCCAGTCGCTCGGCCGCCAGCTCACAGGGCTTGAGGTAGTCGGACCGGTGCAGACTCGAGTTAAAGCACGGCAGCAGATCCTGGGAAGACAGGGCACGCGTAGGAGGACATGGCTATCAGAGGCTTTGGTGGTTGATGTTATCAGCCAGCCCGCCTAGAGTGCATTTTAGTTACGACACTAATGGCCCGACGTCGGTCAAAAAGTTTATCGGCCAACTAGCAAAATTCAGAAAAGAATCCAGCGAACCTTATTTGCTGCTAAACACAACGACCACTAATATAGTGAAGGACAGACAATTGTAGGGAGTCCAAATTCACTGGATCAAGTCTACCCCGGGGTGGTGGGATTGTGTTTCAAAAGGGGGAGGGGGAGAGGGGTTGCTAGTGATGGCATTTAGGAAAGTCTGCGTGCCCGCTAACTGACCAGGAAGTGCCGGTCGGCGATCACCGATAAAATTGTTCCGTTCGTCTTGTCCACACAGAAACACGTCCTGTTGCTGCACTGCAGCGGGTCGAAGTTGCCGTTAGTGAGACAGTGCGGTCGCGGCTGGAGGCCCTCCACCGACAACTCGCCTTGGTGGAGTCGCGAGCACAGACAGCCCATATCGCCGGCCTGAGTGGTACCACTCTCGCCGTACAGCCGCTCGCCGGTCTTACTGTAGCAGCTGGTGGTCAGACCGGGCATCGCCTGCGCCGCTCGGTACGCCCCCTCTGAGTCGCACGCGGGGTCCAGCTGTCCCGGGTTGAGGATGGTCTTTTCGGCTTCGGCGAAGGCCTGTCGCGCCGCGGCACACTCTGTGTCGGCTATGGGCGCGCAGTAGGCGCCAGTGTCGTTCCGGGTGCACCTCAGGCCGGGCCCGCAGATCTGCGAGGGCAGCTGACCGATGTGGTACACGTTACTAGTGGCGCAGGCGTCTCCGGCCGCCTGGGTGAGGGAGAGGGAGAGAGAGCGAAGACCATTGTCAGCGAGAGCGACCACAGTTAGTGAAACACTGACCGCTTGAGATAGGATAGAGACCGACGTTAGCGAGAGCGATCACGAACAGTAATACCATAGCCGGTGGTACGAGATGTTTGTGACGTTCGGAAGCTTAGAAATATAATAAAAGACATATATTGACTTCAACATAACATGTTTCGAGGCACGAATTACAACAGCGTTATCTGTCTCTTGAGTGGACTTCGATCAGTTGATATTGACCGTCAGCTACGCTGAGTCTTTCTGCTATGATCGGAATGGTTATTGCTTCGACTGTCAGATATGCTCGATCTACCACTGCTATCTATTGGTTTGGACGGTCGGATCGCTCGGTCTCGCCCCTCACCAGGTAGTCGATGCAGCTGTGGCAGCAGCCGCACTGTGAGTACGGACTAACCACGCGCAGCTGGGAGGCACTGCACTCGTCACCCGGACACCCGTTGTCAGGATCATCACAGCAAGGGGTGATCACCGGGTCACACACATTGCCCGAACAGTTGAAATTCTCCCCGGTGGCAGCGACGGGCGGCGCACGGGCGGCTAGAGTCGCCACGAGAAACACTCCTAGAGCGAGTGGCGGCGCCATGTCGGCGACTGGAGCTCCTTCCGGACGGTCAGAGAGGAGCAGACAGCACTGCGATCACAGGCACGCAGACGGCGGTCCGCTAATACCCACCCGTCTCTGTTCGCCACCGCGGCTGAGACAGTATCGGGCGCTATCGCAGGGCGATCAGCTGTCAGCGGCGCGATACCGGGTCGTAGCAAGCGGTGTTAACGTCATGCCTCGGCCGGGGGATCTGCAGGTGAACCCGGCGGAGCGAATTATCGATAGCTCTAATCTCATCAGAGACTCATTCATCCTGATAGCTGATGACGCTCCAATCAGACACTCCAGTGCACTTTTTTTGCTGACCTACGACTCCTGTTTGTGTGTTTCAGGTCTGTTGTCGGCTTATCTGGAACTGTTCCACACTGGCCGAATACCGGATTTACACATCGTACCAATATCCATCAGTTACGAGCGTGTTCTCGAAGAAAACTTATACGCTTACGAGATGCTGGGCATCCCCAAACCACCAGAATCTACTGGGGTAAGTGATTTTGCGTTGCGTTGAATTGAGTTCGTAGTGGTTTGTTTAGTTGGGCTATATCATGTTCGGGATGATATTTATTTTAATTAATGGCAGCTAAGCATCTTGCATGGACAAAACGAAGAGGCCACGGAATTTAAATAATATTAGCTAACTGATATAGGAAATTCGGGATGATATAAAGTCCACGATCAAAACGAATGATTGCTCTACCCAATACCTGACCTTCATATAACGCCGGCTGTTCCACTTCTGTCTCCGCTCCCTAGCGTCTGGTGGGCGCCGTCAGCGTGCTCGCCGAGAACTACGGCGCCGTGCACGTCCGCCTGCTGGGCGTGCACTCCCTGCGCTCCGCCAGCGGCCCGGACCTCCGCAGCTGCCGGCTGGCCACCGAGGTGCTGCGCGACCAGCTGGCCGGCGCGCGGCTGCCCGCCAGCTGCCTGCTCATGGCCGCCCTGCAGCTGGCCGGCGGCCGGCAGCAGCTGCCCGAGCTGCTGCAGCTGGCGGGGTTCGTGGGAAAGCAGCTGACGGCGGCGCGGCCCCAGCTCAGCGTGGAAGGTCAGTGGTTAAAAACGCGGTGGACTAGGCAACCTGTCGATTGTAGGTGACCTCCTGCCTCCCGCCTATTTCTGTATGCATTTTATTTGCCAATTTTCTCTAAACATTAAGTACCCTCAGACCTCAAACTGTGCCACATCTGTGTTTTCAGACGTGACGGTCGACGCTGCGAGGCGGCTGTTTCACGTGCACCACAGTCTGCTCAGAGTGAGCGCCGGCCGGGTGGTGGAGCTCCAGTCGCCGGCCCGACCAGCCGCCAGGGCTCGACGACCAGCTGACGGTTAGTAATGACGGCACATGGGGGGGGGGGGTAAGATTGACCGGAAGCTCGCACTTGTGTTAGTGTGAGTGCGGAATAGTGGGATGGTGACGCCGGTGGAAGTGGAAGTTTACTGCGAAATGATAGGTCTCGTTTAAACATGAGTGAGCCGTGGGATGGTGAGACCAGTGTGACAGGTGTGAGTCTCTCGGTGTTGATCGCTCCCCTCTGCCCACAGGGCCTCGTCTGAAGGAGTCGACTCTGGCGGCCGTGGTGTCGCGAATTCAGCTGCAGTTCTACGTGAACCCGCTGCTGCCGCATATAGCGGCAGAGGCGCTCCGGGGACTCGCCCGCCAGTCAGGTGAGGTATTCATATTTGTTACGCTATAACACCTGGTCTGTATACCGGTATACAAAAGTCACCGTGCAAAAGTCTACGGTTACGCGAATACAAAATCTTTTCTAGCGTTCACTTGGAGCCGCCATTACAACGACTATCAGGACACGTCATTTGGCCAGCGTTTTCCGGTGTTTCTTTGTGCTAGATTCATGTCCACGTCCAGCGTTTCAGCACTCGGCAGTGCGCTGTTCCAGCAGGACTCTGCTTTTTTTGCAACGTGTGGACCCTTTTTGCGGCCTTTTGGGTCAGTGCAGTCGTGGGGCACAAAACAACATAATTTCGCAGCGTGTGAGTCATATGTTTCGGTCTTAGCGACGCTCTCTCCGTCGACAAGTCTGTCCTACGCCCGCTGTATATTTCGGCTGTCACAATTTGTAACTCTTTTGTTCCACCGACAGGTCGGCCCGAAGCCCGTCGCACCCTGTTCGAGCTGATGTCCGTCGAATTCCCCACGCTGGAGCGGTGGGACGCTGAACCAGAGTCTCCGTCAACAGACGCTAGATGGCAGGACGTGCAGGCTCGACTGCTCCGACCATTCCTGGAGGCCTACAGGGCGACCATCGGCGCTCTCCTAGTCAGTGTTTGTTACCATTGTCCTACTTATCGCCAACGCAGGCAATGCCATCACTATAACGGTTGTCAATTATTTGTTTGTTTGATTAGATGTCATTTCGTCGCTGTAGATGCCTATCTTATGGCGTTGAGTAGCAGTGCCGCAGTTAAGTAGCAGATAAGCGATATTATCGATCACCTGACGTCATGCTAATGGCTTTTCTGATACTCTGTGTCATCTACACAGTCAGAACTCACTACAACGTCACGACTCATGCTGTGTGATGGTCGACAGAGCAACTTACGTTTGCTACTTCCCTGTAGTCTCATGACGCGCCGTTCGTCCTCCGCAGGGTTCCCTGCCGTCGTCGGCGTCCCCGGTCGAGGTCCAGCTGTGGGCAGAGCAGCACGTGGACGTGCGTCGGCCGGCCGCCCACCTCTGTCTCTGCAGAGACGTGATCTCCAACTGCTGCTCGGCCCTGGTGCGACTGGGCGCCGGCACTCGCGCAAATCGGTGAGCTGCAGCACATCTGTTGGTCATCTGGCGTCCCGAACTATAAGTGTATGTGTGGTTATCTGTGATGGAAGTCAATGCTGTAGATTGGCTTGGTTTGCTCTGCAGTAACATTGCCTTTCGTCAGATTTCGGATAAAAATTTTGGTTGAGGTTTGGTTGGATGGATCATGAATCATGATGCTAAGCAATGATGAAAAATGTTAACTTCGTGGATCGTCCTGTTTGGCGAATACATCTCGGGCACTGTTGTGAAGTGCAGTGTGCACTGGGGCGTTGCCTACCTGATCGAGGGGCGGCGCCTATCTGGCCGAGGAGCGGCCTACCTAATCTAGGGATGCTGTTGGTGTCTGTTGACCGCCGTGTTCTTATTGCACCAATTCGTCGTTTTGTTTGTTTCTTGCCGTTATACTATTACTGTTTATCACTGATTGCTCGCCGTTTCAGGTCAGGGAACGGAGGCAATGGAGGAAACGGAGGCAATGGAGGAAACGGAGGTAACGGCTCTTCTACGGTGCAGTGGCGGCGGGAGCGTCTGGAGGCAGTGGCAGCCCTGCTGAACGAGGCATGTCGGACGACAAACGCTCGCCTCTGACGGCCCGGCTCAGCAGCGGCTCACAACACTGCAGCTAAGCGGCCGTATAGCCCGAACACATCAGTCAGGGACACTGCCTAACGTGGCGCGCACATTCTTCATTTTGTGTTTGCGAGGGGTATATGATAGTTCTGCGTACCAGTATGCAGAGGCTTATGCGAGGGGCTTTAGGGAAGGGTTGTGACGCAAGTTTGTAAGGGATGAAAAAGGCATCAACAGTCAAAAGACTCTGGGAGAGCGGTGTGGGAGCTGTCTAAGTCAGTGTCGGCATGAGAAGCTTGAGTGGCATTTACACTCAATAGTCAAACAAGTCTATTGGAGACTTATTGGGGAGTTGTGTTAGTCATTGTAAGTCTGCGAGACTATATAGGCATCAACAGTCAAAAGATTCTGGGAGACTCATGGCTGAAGAGTTGTCTTAGTCAGTGTTAGTCTGCGAGAGACTATAGAACCGTCAACCGTCAAAAGACTCTGGGAGACTGGCTGAAAGTTCTCTTAGTGATAGTCTGCGAGCGAGTGACTATAAATGCGTCAAAAGTCAAGAGGCTCGGGGAGGCTGCCCAGGACTGTTGTCCTGGGCGATTGTTAGTCAGTGTGTGACCTTACTAGTCTGTCTGCCATTGTGACGCTCCAGAGTAATTCCGGGCTAGTCAGGCAACTGTGATTTACCGCCCGAACAGAGTAAAACCAACTGTCTTACCCCATAGACCTGCATGCGATTAGGAGGGCATACCGCCAACTTGACATGGGCAATGGGGAAGTTGTATTTGGACTACCGGGCGGTTTTGAATGTGAAGCACATATTTCCACATGGAAAATTCGCGCGGTAAACGAATCACAGTCATTTATTATTTGAACTAGGGCATCTTCACTCTTATATTCAAGTGTGTGAAATATTGTTCAGATTTTCGTTTGTTAGATCTGCTTTTTCTACTTTTTTCGCTTGGTGTTTAGTTTTTTATCTTTTCTTTTCGACACATTTTCATGAACGGTTTATCCTTTATATGGGCATTTTCCCGCGTTTTTGATGGATCACTCGTGGCTATTTATTTGGATGCATTTGGTGTGTTTGCGATCATGGGCACCTACCTATTGCAAATACATTCTATAATATATATTTAGTTTGTGGATTTTTACCTTACTCCCTCCTCTATCTTATTCCATGCCAGAAATACGCAAGGAATAGTGTGACGAACGTCGAATCTTCGTCAAAATAGTTAGATGTGTGTAATAGGTCAGCCAAGACAGAGGAACACCGAGCAATAATAGGTATCGCCATTTTGCTAAGTCACAGTCGTTGATCACTCGGCGGTCTAAACGGCTGTCGTTCACAAACTGTCCAAAGTCTGACGAGTTATATTCATAAAACAACGCACATACATGAATATATATGTAACAACAATGATAAGAGCGGAGATATGCGATCGATCGGCGGCCGCGCGCCGGTGGCGCCTCTGGCGGCTCACGGAGTAAACACCCGCAGCGTGCGCATCAGCGCCGTTAGAACGGCCGCCAGCTGAGTGGCCTGTTTCATGAGAGCGGCCATGCTGGGGTGGTGTAGCGGCCGGCCGCCGGCCTCGGCCGCCGCCTGTACGGTCAACAGGTAGGCGTCACAGACGGCCCGCACCTTCAGCACCAGGTTCTGGGTCTGGAGCGGCGCCGTGGTGTGGCTGGCCGCCAGCTGAGTGACGGCCGTGGCCCGCTCCATCAGACCCATGCACGCGTGCAGACAGTCCACCAGTCGGTCGGCGCTCTCCGTGGCACCCTTCACAAACAGCTTGCTGGCCGTGACAAACTGGCGCGCTTCATTAGTGAGTTCATCGCGCGCCAACTGAAATTTGGCCTCGTTCATGCCCTCAGGGCCTCCGGCCTGGTGCGCCAGGGCGCACGCGCTGGCGATCTCGTCCAGCCGATGGGACATGACGCCCAGCCGGTCACACGCCTGGAAAAACACTGTTCGGTCCTCCTCGTCACCCTCGACACTGGTCTCGAGCGAGTCCTCCTCGAAGCTCGAGTCCGCCGGCCGGCCGCGAGGGGGCAGGCGCGGCGAGCTCGTCTCCAGCGGCGGCTCGGGTGGCGGCGGGGGCGGCTCGGCGGCGGCCGGCCGGGGCGGCGGCGGCAGCGGCAGCCGGCGCGGCGACCGGTCGGGCGGCGGCGGCGGCGGCGGTTTTCGGCCGCCCGGGGAACTGTGGGGCGGCGGCGGCGCGGCCGGCCGGCCGACAACCCGCTGCGGGGAGGTGGGTCCGGTCTGCCGCCGCACGCGGGACGGCAGCGCCGGAGGGAACTCGGCCGCCGTCGGCCCGGTCGATTCCTGAAATATGGGTAACGTTTGTCACCCTGGAGTCACCAATCATCCACTGCAGCGAACAGTCTAAACATCGCCAGTTGCCGAAAACCGATTAGGGCTGCCTCTGAGCACCAGTTTCCAACAAGAACAGCAAATAATTTTGCTTTTGATTGCACATGTAAGTATTTAGCAACAGAAACTGAATCAACTCGTCAGGCCCACACATCGACTCTAAGGAATTGACGTGGCGACCTGACCGCGTTACCTAGCGATTGGGGCAAGAGAGGTTGACCTGTTGTCCTGACAAGAGGAGGAATTGACTGACCTGTTGTCCTGACCGGGTGACCACGGTATGAGTGGCAGCGATACTGACCTGTTGACCTGACCGGGTGACCACGGGCGGTTTGGGCGGCAGCGGCGGCAGCTGACTGCCGGGCCCGTGTCGCAGCACAGGCCGCGGCGGCGGCTGGGGCGGCCCGCCGGCCCCGCCCGGCTTCTCTCGCCGCCTCTCGAGCGTGCGGAACACGCGGGCGTTCTCCTCCAGCGCCCGCTCCAGCTTCTGGTCGGAGGCAAACGCCTCGGTCACCTGGTGGTAAAAACGGATACAACAATCAGTGCTTGCTGGGATAGGAGGCCAACAAGCAAAGAAGGATTATATCGGTTGGCATAGGAGGCCTCATTATCGAGACTGTGCTTGAGAAAGGAGAAAAGCAACATCGAACTAACTGGTAGACTGTATAGTACATTTAGTGTAGACAGTGAGGTGATCAGCACATCGAACATGCGGTGCAGACTGCAGTGACACATACACAAAACAACGATAATGAATCGCGACAGTGAATCAGAGATCGGTCCTACTGATTCGCCTCCATCCAAGTCCCAAGACAGGACTCTGGAGGGACGAATACCACAATCTGTGCCCACCATTCCATTGCACCAGCTCTGCGAAATATCGCTGTACTTCTGCTTCAGTTGGTGTCTTATTTTTCGTTACCAGCAGGCAGCAGTGCTTTATCCTATATCGGTTACCTGACTAGTTCCGTTGGCCTGCGCGGCTCTCAGCTGGTGCTGTAGGGAGGCGATCTTTGCACCGACCCGCGGCCGGCCGGCCACCGGTGGCCGCCGGGGCGGCGGGCCGTTGGTCACCCGCAGCTCCTCGGAGCCGGCCACCGGGTTAGCGTCGTAGTGGCCCTCCTCCGACTGGCAGTGGCCGCGGGTCAGCTCAGGTCAGGGCGGGACGGGAGGAGTGGGCAGCCCGAACATAGAGGACAACGAGCGACCAGTGCACAGCGGTACTTCCATAATTAGCTAACACATATACTCGAACAGAATCGGTGTAGAATCGGTGCAGATGTGGACGGTGATACAGTAGGTATACGGCCAACACTATGTGCTCAACAAAAAGCGTGCTGCGCACTGACATATAACACATGAGCAATGAAGACAATCATACCTATAAGCCAGCTACGTGCAGTGGGTAACAGGACACAAATACGCATTAAGATGTGCAACAGTGAACACTGAACAGTGAAGTCAATAGATACATAAAGCAGGCGATGGCCAGGGGCACACACCTGGACGGCTCTGTCTCTCTCCCTCCCTCTCTCTCTCTCTCCCTCTCTCCATCTCTCACCTGTGAAGTCTGCCCAGCGACCCCCGCCGGCGGCGGCGGGATGATGAACGACGCTATCTGGTCTCTGGTCAGCTCTACGACCGGTGACCCGTCCTGACGTACCCGTGGCGCCGCCTGGAGCACAGGTCAGGTCAGGCGTGGTCAGGTCACAGCACGTTAGATCCACAGAGACGCAATCGACATCCTACAAAACATACAATAAACATTAAGAGACGGTAAGGCAATAAATAGCCACTAGCCAGTCTGCTATGCCACTAACAACTCATCGCGTACAAGCACAAAGTCACGTTTTCCGACCATTTCTATTTTTATTCTATTTAGTTAGAGTCCAGGGCTTGCCTCTAACTGGGCTTGCCATCGTTTCCTATCTTCCCACCATGTGATCGAGACGTGCAATGTAATTGCGACATTTCCACCACTGTAATATAGATGACGATATATTTCCTGCGCTGTCACAGTCGCCAAAAAGATGGTCCAGTGGGGACCGCAGCCCAGCCAGAATGTCTCGAATGTCTGAACTCGATCATTTACACTGTCTCTCGATATCACAAGGTCCCATGAGGTCGGCCACAAGACACACGCCCTTCATCAGAAATATGACGGCACGACAATGAAAGAACGAAATAAATGAAGGCAGAAACTGCGCCGAGCAATATCGTCAATTCCCGCGGGGCACAGAAGCGGAAATGAAAGATGTTCATTGAATATGAGAAGCTGACGCTCCTGGCCAACCGTTATTCAATTCGACACCTAGTTACGTTGGACCGAGCGTGGTTGCTGCAATAAGAATACGGCAGTGGAATGAAGTTTGGAATATCCACGCATCATGTGTGTAAAAATATAATTTATGCTGGTTTTCTTTAATAGAGTAAGTCAATGAAGTGCGAAAGCCCAGAATTTCTCATCCAGCAAGCAAGTGCCCTACGTAAATAGGTAAGTGTAATGCGTCATTCTGGGAAAACCAAATGGAGACTCCGAGACGACACGCGGGCAGTCAGTGTGGCAAGGCGTTGGGAGTCAAAGACCCGTCACTCACCTGACCTGCGAGTCAGGCGCCCGTGACCGACCCCACGGGGGTCTCGGAGTCCCGCCACTGACCTGTTGTGAGCCAGGGACACGCGACTAACCCCACGGGGGACTCGGAGTCCCGTGACTGACCTGCTGTGACCCTGGGACCCGCCACTGACCTGCTGCGAGTCAGGAAACCCGCGACTAACCCCACAGGGGACTCGGAGTCCCGCCACTGACCTGCTGTGACCCTGGGACCCGCCACTGACCTGCTGCGACCCTGGGACCCGCCACTGACCTGCTGTGACCCTGGGACCCGCCACTGACCTGCTGCGAGTCGGAGGGCGGCGGCGGCAGCGTCAGGTTGGCGATCAGGCTGTCGATGTCGGAGCCGGTCGGCTGCGAGCTGAACCCGCTGCTGGGAGAGTCCTCCGGAGAGTGCAGGGCCGCTGCTGGGGATGGGACAAAGATATGGAGTCAGGTACGCAGTCAGAGTAGAGGTATATGGGTACAGAGTAGTTAGATATAGTGTCAGAAGGTCGTAAGGATTATTAAAGGTCAGCTCAAGCTGTAAGCACATGTTTACGCTAAGGACGAACTTACGTCATGGAAATGAATTTAGTGCGATGTGATAAAGTTGGTTGGATAAAAACTGGTTACATGACTTCCAGATAACTTTGGCAGGTTATTAATTCAAATATCAAGATAGCATTCTTCGAACCTTGGCTCATCTGTCATTCATACGCTTCCTTTACCACCCATCATTCCTAATCACTGACCAGCTTTTAATCGGGGATCAATTCCCTCATTTATTCTCTAAACTAACCAGTCTTCCCGTTTCACCCCTTCCCATTAACTGACTGACCTCTGACCATCTCGCCGACCCTGTCCAGGTCACCGAGGTCGCGCTCCAGCGCCTGAAGCTCGGCCTCCAGCGTCTCCCGGTCAGCGAACGGGGTCGGTGGAGTAGACAGCTCCGGAGGGATCCTCGGTGGACCGTCCTGGAGGGACACAGGCGTTTGTGGCGGTTAAAAGGAGGGTTGACATGGGTTCATACCTATCGAGTCGCAGGTGCTCTTGACCAGGTGACTTTATACGAGGTGGTGAGCGAGCGAGAGGCATACGGCGACAAAGCATGCACATTGCACACGGCCACAATATGAGATAGATCGAATTGCCTGCATCATCA